CGTTCAGTCATACGGACATTCGAGTAATATAGCTGTGAGTATAGCTGAGAGCTACAGTGGTGGCTATATGCTGCGTCAGTACGAACCACTCATAGTCATCGGACGTGGTGGCTTTGGACATGTCATGGTGGCTCGACACTTGCCTTCTGGCTCGCTAGTCGCTATCAAAACACTCAGCAAACGCTCCATCGCAACACAGAACCAGGTCCAGCACTCTCGAGCAGAGAAAAGCGTCCTTACTCGCTGTCGCGATCATCCGTTCATTGTTAAAATCCATGCGTGTTTCCAGACCATCGACCATCTCCACATCGTGCTCGACTACTGTCCAGGTGGCGAGCTTTTCTTCCATCTCTCACAACGTGGACACTTCACCGAGCCCGTCGCAGCCTTCTACTTAGCTGAAGTTCTCCTTGCACTCGAGCACTTGCACCACCACGACATCATCTACCGCGATCTCAAACCCGAGAACATTCTACTAGATCAACAAGGACACGTGCGTCTTGCCGACTTTGGACTGTCGAAACCAGGAATCGACGACTGGACTCTGGCCATGACGTTCTGTGGGTCGAAAGACTACATCGCTCCTGAAGTAATTGCGCTCTGTGAACGATCATCGTCGACGTCATCTTCATCCAGTCGAGGCTACGGCAAGACGGTCGATTTCTGGGCGCTTGGCTGTATGCTCTACGAGATGTTGACCGGACAACCTCCGTTCTACAACGCCGCAAGTAGGACGCAGCTCTACTCGATGATAATGGATGGCGCAGTATACTTCCCACCAACCATCAGTGACGAAGCTCGTGACTTGATGCAATGTCTGCTACGCACAGACCCGAGAGAGCGTCTTGGAGCACGTCGAGCGTCCGGTGGTGGCGCGACTGCAGTCAAACTTCATCCGTTCTTCGCCAAGCACCAAATCGACTGGACTAAACTACTGAATCGAAGTCTACGGACGCCTCCACTTCGTCCTCGCTCGGGTCAATTCGCCAATTTCGACTCCGAGTTCACGTCCATGGCACTTCGTGGTATTGAGAGTATGGTCAAGTTCCCGGACAAGATCCCGATGGACTACCAACTCTTCGACAATTACAACTGGGAGCCACCCAAAGCCACCCAATAGAGATTTACAAAATATAAACTCAAAAAACTTGTTCAATTCAAAGGCTCATTCGATTTTTGCTAACGGGAACACCCTATCCTCTCGGAAAGTACCGCTCCGCTAGCCTGCTTACTTCCAGAGCTTGTTGATCGACATGTTCTGCTCCGAGTCCTTCTTCATGACCTTGGACACGGCCATCTCAAAGTCTTCCTGCGTCACGTGGATCCGACGCTCACGCAGAGCAAACATACCCGCTTCTGTGCACACAGCCTTACACTCGGCACCTGAAGAGGTCGGCATCTTCTCGGCGATAACCTTGAGGTTAATGCCACGCAGCAAGTTCATCTTCCTCGAGTGAATGCGCATGATATCAATACGCGACTAAATACACAACATATCATTACTAACTCGTCCACTTTTAACAGCATAAAAGCAAATAAAACGCACCCCTTCCGTCGGGTTCGGGAACTCGATCTTCCTGTCAATACGCCCGGGACGCAGTAGCGCGGCGTCCAGGATATCGATACGGTTCGTAGCCATAATGACCTTGATATTCTGCGCAGGCTCGAAGCCGTCCAGCTGGTTCAGCAGCTCCAGCATCGTGCGCTGCACTTCCGAGTCGCCACCGCCGCCTTCCATACGGGAACTACCAATGGAATCGATTTCGTCCATAAAGATAATGGACGGGGAAGCCTCGCGGGCCATGACGAAGAGTTCGCGCACCATACGCGAGCCTTCACCGATGTACTTCTGCACCAGCTCTGCACCCGACACACGGATGAAAGTACAGTCCGTGTGGTGAGCCACAGCACGAGCCAGCAGCGTCTTGCCTGTACCAGGAGGTCCGTACAGCAACACACCCTTGGGCTGGGCCACACCCAGAGCGTCGAAAAGCTCCGGGTGCTTGATAGGCAGCTCGATAACCTCCTTAATCTCGCGGATCTGCTTGTCCAGACCGCCGATCATATCGTACGTTGAGTCGGGAACCTTCTCCACCTTCATCAGGCTCACCAGCGGATCCACCTATGCATATAAAGTTAGAGATCCTCGGTTTCACATAATTAATAATTCGGGATCCAAGCACTTTGCTTGATGCGCACCTTCGTGGGCAGGATCTTGTGCAGCACGTAGCTGTCATTGCGTAGCGCCACGCGCGTGTTGGGTGTGCACTTGGCAATGTCGATGGTCTTGTCCACATCCACCACGTACTTGCCCTCTGGGTTCACCTTGACGAGCACCTTGGACTTGCCCATTTGCTTCACTACTTCGCCCACATACGAGCCCGGTTCCTGCAGCAGTTGCAGCTCCTCACGCAGCAAGCGGACTTCATCGAAGCAACAGTGGTAAGAACCTTTAATTTTTATCAAGAATTGGCAAAAAAGGTATCCAGTTCACCTTTTGAGTTGAGCTCGTTGCGCTGCGCCTGAAGACGCCGCAGGTTTTGCGTCTCGTCACGCACCGTCAGCTCCAGGTGCTCGATCTTCTGCTCGTAGTAGCTGGTGAGACCAGCGCTGTCATCTGCCGACGTCATGGCTACGTCCGCCGTCATGATCAACTGAAACAAACTACGGTAAAGCCGTCGAGATTCTCCTCTGTTTCTCCCCAGTTGCGATCCTAAGTGTCGTACCTAAGCGAATTCATGAATCGGACTTAGTGATGTAAACACAGTACTATATATTTACGTTTCCAACACAAATGTGAGTGTGACTGGCGTAGCGAGCTGTAGCCATCTTTGAATTTAAATTGACGCGGGTAGAGCGATGGTGGCGACGCCCAGGTTTCATGTGACGCAGGACGCCGCGTGGGTGTTTGTGCATGTGCATGTGCCTTTTGTGCGCGTATCGGATATGGAGTTCTATGTGGACAACGCGGACTTCACTTTCTTCTGTAAACCGTACCTGCTCAAGTTGCACTTCCCACACGAGGTGGTGGACGACGAGCTGGCAAAGGCAGTGTACGACCCCAATAAGGTATAACGCTCTGATAATTGCTGATGCAATTGCGGTGCAGGTTGCTAACCGTAGTGTTGTGGTGCAGGAGAATGGAACGATTGTGGTGCATCTACCCAAGAAGGAGCCCGGCCAGGAATTCCCAGACCTCGACATGTTGACCAAGCTGCTGCAACCGCAGCGGCCATCAATTGATGTAAAGTCCGACAAGCAACGGTGTGTCGGAATTATGTTGTATGGAAAAAGTTGCAATGGTTTTAACTTGCTGCTTGTTTTGTTTCGATACCAGCAAAGCGCCGCTTATCGAAGTTCTGGATTCATCGGGTTCAGAGCCAATTGGGAGTTTTCAGGAGGAAAACGATAGGCTCAATGCGTTGATCGATGGCATCTCGATTTCCAGCAAGAGTGCAGCTGTAGCTCCTTCAACTGAACAGGTGCAGACGGATTCGTCGCTTCTAAGCCTCGAGTCCTCAGCACCGAAGAATGTTAGTTCGATTAAGATCGACGCAGGCAAAGATGCCGTCAAGTCTATCGGCGTGCGCGTCACTGACCTTGCGCCCTCGTACGGATTCAACAACGCGTACAGTGATTTTTTCCGTGTGTGGCATGGTGAGGTGAGCGAGATTCTGTCTCTACCTGACCCAGAACACATTCAACCGGAACAGCGACGTATCCTCCGTGAAGAAGCTGAAGAGCAAATGTTTGACATCGAACGATACCTCATGGACTTCGCAAACCAGGGAGACGATATGTATTTCGAGTTGGCCATGGCATACGAACCTTTCTGGACAAAGTATCCCATCTTACCACCCGCTGAGACTCGAAATAATATTTTAAAAGTGAAGACGGCGAAGCCTCGGGTTGTCGAGGTTGTTTCGGACGTCGACCGCGTGAGCGAAAGTATTCACACTTTTTCACTGGAACCCACTGCATCTCAACCTCCAACCTCATCGTCTTCGGAGTCATCGGTCACGTTTACTGACGCAGAGCAGGAATTGTTGCTTCGCCTTCCTCGTAAAGAGTTTTTGCTCTCAGAAGGAAGCCCCGAAGAGAAACTGGTGGTCGGGGGTCTTGTGGATATCCTTATTGGTTTTGTGTACGAGCAGTTGACTACGCAGGGTGACAGTGGAGTGGAATCGACGTGGACGGTGAGCATTGTCAGCCCGACGCTGTCGTGGCTGGACTCGAATGCAGACTTGCGCGCTGTCGTACGCTCGACTGTGCGTCGAATGATCACATTCCCGTTCTTGCGGCAATACGACTTGGCCATGCGCTGTGTGCGTGAAGCAAGCGAGATCTTGAAGCGTGGGAAGCGTGTTGTTCTTCGCGCACTGCTAACACTGTACCGGATTGTCGAGAAGTCTGAGACGCAGTATCTACTCAACTCACTCTACATTCAGGACTACTGCGTGTGGGTCCAGTCCGTCACTGATGATCGTCTTCGACGTGTGAGTGCAGAGCTGGATACCCACATAGCTTCACTCAAGAAAAGTGAAACAGGTTGGGCTTTAGAAGAGCTCGAACGAAGTCTGTTTGAAGCCGACGATAGTGAAAATGAATCCTCTTCCAGCTCAGACGACAGTGACGAGGAATCTTCTAGTGAAGAAGAGTCGAGCGATGCCGACAGTAGTGGTGACGAAGAGGTCGATGAAAAGCCAGTGAAGCTTTAGCAAGATAGACAGCGCGTCATGTATAATTAGTGAAGCGAGGACGCTTACAAAAATAAAGCGTTGGTGTGTAAAGCACTGCAGTTGACTCGCAACCTTTTTATCATCTCGTGTGCTCATTGCTACGGTGGATTTCTCATGGCAAAGCGAGATGAAGTTCGCGCTGCGAGCTTTTCAGGCTCTTTGTCTTCAGCTTCTTCCAATTTTAAGCTACCATTGCTGCTGACTGCTCGGCCTGGAAACGTTGGTGTTCAGATTGACTCTCACCGAGCCATAGACGTGCTCTCTCATCCACGCAGCGTCAAGTTCACATCGCAGTTTCACGAAATCATGTATGAGAACGGGTCGCTGGAGAACTACCCGCGCGTGGTGGAGCGCACGGCTCAACGTGCACAATTGTTAGAGGACAAGCTCGACAAACTGCGAGCTAGAGAGCATTATCTACTTGAGGATGAAGCGAAGCGGAAGCAGAGAAGAATGCAGCGTGACGCAGCTCGCCAGCGTCGGATTTGGCTAATGCTTCAGGCAGCAAAGCGAGTAGATGAACGTGCTCGAGAGACTGCTGCTGCAATAACGGTACAAAGGGTGATTCGAGGTGCCCTAGCACGGCGGGTGGCTAGAGTGCTGAGGCAAGTACGGGAAACCCATGAGGCTGCGTCGATGCTGCAGCGTGCAATGCAGGGGTATGTGGCTCGACAACAGTTAGCACTGAAGCGTGAACGCCGAGCTAGAGAAGAAGAAGAATGCCGTGAGCGTGAGATGTACTCAGCTGCTACAGTTCTTCAGCGACAAGCGCGTAAACGCCTGAAAGTCGCCCAGGAAGCGCGTCAGCAAGCCGCACTCGCTGCGTGTGTCGAGGATGACGAGGACGAGGATGGAAGTGAAAGTAAAAGCGAAGAGGATAAGGAGGACACAAGGACAGATGAACGAGCGTCACAAAACGATCTTACCGTTGACGAGAAGGTTATTGACGATGCATTAAGACGAGGGATCAGTTTGGATCTCCTTTTCTCGGATGAAGAAGAAAGCGCGAGTCCATTCCCAACTAACTCCACGTCCTCGTCAAGCATTCTGCCAATAGAGTCAGCGTCCAACACTCAGCGAGTAGTTCCACAGCCTCCGCCACCTAAACTCACTGTGGCGCAAAGGCCTCGAAGGCAGATGTCCATCAAACGTGTTGGAGGTGGTTACCGCACAAAGCTATTACCTTACAACACTGAGATGCCCCCATCCAAGGAAACACCGGTTAGCTCAACAGAATTTTCAGCTACCCGTCCTTATTCACGCCAACCGCATCTACAAGAAACAGTAGCAGCTTCATCTGACGCACAAAGTGCCAGTGAGGAACTCGTACGTCACTCGAGGCGCTCACCAGCGATCCCAAAATCTCCAACTCTCGTTGCACAGCGGCCAAATCACTCTCCACGACCGATCATGGAGAGCAACAACAACGAAATACGCTCTGTTTCCCCTGTTAAAGTGTCGCCGCCTAAAGTGTCTCCGTACGCCATTCCGCAGCGCCTGCTTTCATCACGATAACTTCAACAAAAAAAAAATCTGCATCACGTCACGTATTTTATGTGTACCACTTTATTAACATCTTCTATCTAAAGGTACATGTATACAGTAGTTTCTTGTCGGGTCCGGAAAAGAAATAGGGAGTCATGATTTGGGATTCATCTCGAGAATTCTTCGCTCTCTAATTAAGAATAGAAAGGATTGTGATAGGCTAAAATAGCTGTTTGCTTTGGAGAAAACGGGGTTATGCGGTAGTTATTAATAGGGTGACTGGTGTGATTGGATTGGCTAGAAATCCGCTGTGGGGTGCATGAATGTTTGTTGTTTCTCAGTCAAGAATTTTCCACGCGAACATGAATCTTCGCTGTGGTGTGTACGGCGAAGGGAGCGTCTTCTCCGTCAACATCGATCACAATGCAGACGTGGAGGCGCTGCAGGAGAAGATTGCAAGTAGATACAGAGTCGTCAGCAACCGCGTTGAGGTTTTCCCAGCCGCATTGACGCTGTATTTGGCGCGGAAAGCGGATGGCACGTGGTTGAAGGACGACCGTAATGTGAAAAAAATCCTGCGAGGCAGTATCAGCAATGATTACAAGGAGATGCGTCCGTCATGGAAGCTCAACAAGGTGGGGCTGTTTGGACCAGATTTTGACCTCGGACTCCCGGAGTCCCTCTCCCTTCAGAGTCGGAGAGGAAGCGATTCATGTGCTGGTGGAACTTCCATCCGCAGCTGATATTTTGCCAAACAAGCGACAACATACGGGAAGTGTGCCGCGAATTGAGAAGGTCGAAGATGTGCCTCAGATTAAAATCCAAGGGGTGCAATATGTGACGCTGCCAGCTGCATTTCTCGAGAAGTGTGGTTACAGAGTCTCGGAAGACTTGATGCTGTATTGTCGTCGTGAAGTGCTCGATCTGTGGGGCTTTGTGCAAAATGAAGTCATTGCTAAGAATGCAAGAGGATTCATTGTTGGACCACCTGGCATAGGCAAATCTGTGGCTATGCTAAGTTTTGTGGCCTCTTTGGATCATCAGGAATGGAACGTCGTCTGGATTCATTTAAGTCAAAATTTGGACTCTTGTCTGGCGTTGGGAACGAAGGAATACTGGGACATTGCTGGTTTATCAAGTTTTGAGCTGCCTCGAGTCGCAGGCAAAAAGCTCTTTATTTGTTTAGATGGCTACAAGGCTACGACTACGCACGCAAAGTTTTTCAAACGCGTCTTTACGCTTCTCGACAAGAAAAACGAGAGGCTTGTGGTTTGCTCTTCAATGTCCTCACTTGGTAAGAGAAACCTGGAGGACGATCGTCATGCCAATATTCAAGTGTTCTTCTTGTATTCATGGACGAAGGACAATTATCTCGCAGCCATCGCCGATCAGACTTTTTATGACAAGATCGCGTCAAAGTTGGACGCAACAAGTCCCAACGCAGTGAATGAGGACGACGGTTTCGAAGCAGAATGGAGTGAGGAGGACAAGAAGCATTATGCGCTTGATTTGAAGTTCTACTATGCTGGCGGATCATGTCGGTTCATGTTTCAATACCCCACGATTGAAGTGATGGACTGTCTGAAAACCGGGGTTCAATCTGCCGCGAACAAGTCAGATCTTGTCAAATACTGCGGTGGCTATTGGCACACCGATCCAATCGACAGGCTTTACGGGATGCAACCTGACGGCGATGGTAACGCTCGGTTCCCCGTGAGCTCGTGTGCGGCCTTTCTCTTTGCGGAAGAATGTGACGAGCAAACCATTGTGCAGTTGGCGGCTCGTCTTAATGGGTCAAACAACTCTGCGGTGGATGACCACCTCTTCGAGTGGCTGTTTTTGGCATCTGTTCCAAAGCGTGCAGTGAAATTATTCGGCGACCACGAAGTCGGAGACGTCCTGCCTCAAGCAAATGTTCTTCGTTTCGATCCGAAGAAACGATTTAAAGTGCTATCAGATGGAAAAATTAAAGGCGACGGGAGTTGGTTGCAGCCGATGGCGTGGAACCAAGGAGGCTACGATGCGGTGCATTTTGACAAGGACAAAGGCAAGGTCATCTTTATCCAAGTCACGCGATCTGAAAAACACGATTTCAAGATGCGCTTCTTGTACGAAGTGCTTCTCAAACTAGAAATGGCTAGAATGAAGATAAAACAAGTGGTGATCTATTTTGTGGTCAAGCCGTCTCAGTATCTGAACTTCAAGCTGGGCCACATTGAGGATCGCGACGTTTTGTTAAAGTTTGATAAGAGTTGGACCCGTCCAGAAGAAAAATATGTTCAAGTGCGCGCTTTTGAAGCCCCTCCAGTCTAGTACCTTAAACGTGCCCCTGGCAAAGACGTTTTCCAAGGATCTAAACCTCGTGATTCTATCACGTCGCATGGTCAACAATGTCATCGCCAGAGCTTCGCTTTTTATCTCACAACTCCAATTAGTTTATCAATTTCCAGATGTAAATATTAAAAAAAAACGAGCTGGTCCGCAAACCGATTTGGAATGCGTGAACGCTGTACCGGTACGTGGTCATCTTCATGCTCGCTGACCACCCGGACATAGAGGTCAAGCTAATGAAGTACCCTCAATCGAGTACCAGAGAACAGCTTGAGTAGAAATGCGGAGGGGCTGACGCAGCCATTGAACACAAGCTTTTTCTCTGCTGCCACAGGAAGTTCCTCTTGTCAGGAATGAAGTTTGGTCATAGTGGACGCGGAGCGTTCGTGCTATATTTGTCAAGCTTCACGGTCTCCTGGACTACCTTAACGGACTTAGGTAGGTGATATGGCGTTAGTTAAATTGTTAGATGGGAAGCTACGCCTATTAATAGTGCGAGGAGCTCCATGATGGCGTTAGTTGAATCACTAGATGGGAAGCAAGCTTCGTTTAGGTAGTATAAGTAACACCTAAGCTGCCATTAACATTAGCTTGTCTGCACCACGCTTGACGTGTCCATCTGACGGAGACATAGGATAAGCTGATCATCTGCAGCATTTTTATAGCACTGCCCAACCTTGTTTCGGTCTTGCGGGCAGGGCTTAATGGTCTTGGAGTTAGACCAGCAAATATAAAAAAAATCACCTAATATTTTCTTCTCAGACTAAAATGATATTATTTAAAATCAATTTAGTATTTGTTAAAACGATATTATGTTATTCAAAGAATGCATTATCGATATTAATACATCAATCATTTGCAGGGCTAACGGTAACCAAATATCATATCATATTTTTTAGAGTGATAGTACTATTTTCGATTTTAAATACTATTGGAACTCATTTTTAAGGCAGCATTTTATTTTAAAATAAACTCGAAGATTTGGAAAATATTAGATAACAGATGATATGTTTTAATATTTCCCACCTTAAGTATGTTTTGTTGCCACCTTACCCTGCTGAGTGAATTGAGGGCTCACAAAAGAACTCTTTCGGTCAGTATTCTAGAACAGCACTAGGCTTTAAGACTGACGAGTAATTGCTCTAGTATCTCTCTGTGACACAGACAAAGGCGATCGAAATGGAAAACTGCAAGCGCTTGCAGGTGTTTAATGTCGATAGAGCGAAATCAAGGTATTTGTTCTTGTTCTCCTCGTCCACGTCGTGCGTCTAATAAACTTGCATTATGTAACGCTGTATTAATGCGCTCAGCAGTGCCAATACACGACGCCAACCTTGCCGTCACTCTCACAATTGTCCCGGACTCCATCTCCCTCACTGTCGATTAGTATTACTTCAGCTACCGTCTTACCCCGCACAGAGCGCCCAGGCATACTAATAAAATATAGCGCCCAGTGAGCGCTTTATTCGTTTTGAGTGCCTAGACGCTATTCTACGAACAAACTTCTTAACTTTGAAGAACGCACAGGTCAGGTGGAGATTATACAGCTACAAATATATATGCATGCACGTCACTTTATTATGTGCTGACGGATCAATTGGTCGAAGCATGGATTGGCATCCATGGATCGATTCTGGATGTGTCAATTGAGGACCTGTAACGAGTTGCTATTCCTCCTGCCCGACTCGCTGGGCAAATCGTATAGTTTATGTGCCTGCTGCGCTGTCTGTCCCTAGTCCGTAGTTGTTACTTGATAGTACTCGAAGACGTCACTGGCCAGCAGATGCTCCACTGAGCCCTGTGCCGGAACCTTTGGCTCCTACTTTTTGTATTCCTTCTCCTTAGCTAACCTTACGTAAGCTAATAGAGATTCGTTCTTCGTTTTCGTTCTTCCTTCTTCGTCCCTGAACAGATAGTCTCCAGTCAGATCACCCACGTCCTCGCCGAAGCACCGTGACGTCCCGATGCGATCCAGATCACGCTCAATCTCCAAGCCACTTGGGCGTACGCCCACGGCGCCTAC